AAAAGACATAAAAGAAGTCATGCACTATATAAATTGCATCCTAGATATACCCGGGTCTTTTATAATCATGTTTGCGACAAATACTTGATTAATCCCGGGTACAAATCGTGGGGGTACACTAACAAGGGGGTACTATTTGCCGCAAATTACGGTAATATAGAAATATCAGAAGAAAGATAGTTTATCTGAATTTTTATGTTTGACTTGTGTTTTAAAAAAAATTTACACAAAACTGCTAAAATCAAACCATTTATTCATTTAATAGCTCAAAAAAAAATATAAATAATTATACAAACAAAAGTAGTTTTTTTATATATTTATTATTTTTATTTATTTTTTTTTTTAGAAAAAAAAAAATTTAAATAAAATCCTAATCTACAAAAAATATTATAAATGCTTTTGAAAAAAAATTAAATGATTAAATGAAAAATATAAACAAATAATGTTGAATACTTTGTTAAAAAAAATGCGTAAAAAGAATGTTACATGAATGAATAACTATGTAAAGATATGCCAATAAAACCTTATGTTTCTTGAACAAGATATTCTAAATTAAATGAGCTGCTATTTCCATCAGATAGTATTGATTCATCATCATCCAATAAATTTATACCTTCATCATCAGTTGATGATGCTGAACTTAGTACATCATCTTGTCCTTGCGGTGATATAGCATCAATATCGTCATTATTTATCACATACGGTTCAATATGCGCCTCATCAGCCAAATAGTCTATATTCACTGACGATTTGCCATCATCAAATTCTTCAAAGTCATGCTCAGCATCGCTAAGTGTTTTACTATGAAATGGTGTTGTTACGGTCATGGCCCTTCCATTCGCTATATTTCCATCATTATTAAGGACGTCATCACCAAGAAGAAAGTATTCGTTCAAATCTTGAAGCTTCGATACAATATCTCTAATTTTATGATCTGCTGGTGCCTCATCGCTATATCCACCGTTAATGTCCATGTTAATGTCAGAAAATAATTGATAATCTGGATCATCTTGATAATTAGGATCTTGCTGTGGGATCTTTTTACACGTGTAGCATACTGCATGTACATTTAATCTCGTAGCTTCCATGGCCGCTTGACGATCAGGAATTGCCCAACCATGTTCATCAGGATCACCAAATAGGCTAGCAGTTCCATCTATTTCTTTTCCCCTTCTCGAATTAAGACTCATACGCATGATTTGCTTGTCTTTCGCGGGTGAAACTGAAATAGTTATGGATTCATCAAGAACTTCTAATGCTTCTTGAGAATATGACGAATTTAAAAGACGGAGAAGCGGTAAAATTAACTCAGAGCCTATTTTGCTAAACTCCTCTCTTTGTGTATCAATATGCGGTAATAACATTTTAAGAATTGTCATCGTTTTAAGCTTGTAATATGGGGTCTTGTTTGCGAGAAGGCTCATGAGAAACAACAAAATATGAACTTCATAATCGGGAAAATAATTGTCTCGGAGAACCAAAATGACTTGCTTTAAAAAATCGTCTTTAGTTCTGAATCTTCCTTTGTTGTAGGAGTTCAGTACGTTAAGAATGTTATGCCGACTTTGTTGTTCTGCAATTTCTGATAAATATTTTGACCACTCTTTACATTCTTCCCGGATACTTTCATCTTCTAACGAATGAACAAGTCGTGGAAGATTAGCAAGAAGCAAATATAAATA